GAAAAACAAAACAAACAAAAAGAGCCAGCTAATAAATTTAAAACAGAAAAAAAAAAATGGTACAGCCAGGCCGAGGCGCCTCCTACTGCTAGGTCGAAGCCCTACTTGGATTGTCATTTGTCTACTCTGAGCATCGGTCCTTCTCACCTGCTCCTCATGAAGTCTAGATCGCTGGACTTGTCTAACCATTTGTGTGTTTGTTTGTTTGTTTGTTTGTTTTGTTATTTTTTTAGAGAATGACTTAAGCCCCAAATGAATTGTTTTATTCCAGAACAATCCCAACAAAATTTTAAAAAAAAAAATCATATTTAAGGATCATTTAAAAAAATTATTCATAAAGAAATCAATATAAAATGATTTATTAAAAATAAAAATATGACTTATTATTAATTATTGTCTGTAAATAATTTATTTGGGTAATTATTGTATGTGATTTTTCTATTTCAAATTATAAAGAAAGTCCCTTCATCCTTGATTTTTGACAAAATTTTAAACCTACAAATTTATGACTTATTTTTAAAATTTGCAACTTCTTTTACTTTAATTCACAGGAAAAGAGTTTCTCCACTTTTTTTTCCCTCCACTTTCCTCCACTTCTCCCATCTCCATCATTCATTAATTTTATTATTTAAAAAATTATTTAATAAAATAATTTGAATGGTGGGGATGGAGGAAGTAGAGAGAAGTAGAAGGAAAAAATGTAGAAACCCCTCTCCCTTTGATTCACGGCTCGATGTCATAATTTAATTAAAGAACACAATTTAAAAAAGATCCAAAATTTAACATTGAATTTTATAAGATTATTTATTCAATTTTAAAAATTTACAACTTACTCTCTTAAATTTATAACTTCATCTACTATGATTTACAACTTTCTACTCCAATTTTATTTATGAACACAATATTAATATTTATTTTTCTCAAGAGAAATAACTTATTCAATTTTAAAAGTTTGCAGCTTACTCTCAAGTTTCAAATTTTATTTAAAAATGCAAGATTTCAAACCTTGAATTTATAATGTTATATTTTTGTCATTTATAAGCATTGTAATTTTATATCTCAATTTTTTTAATGAACATAAAATCTCAATATTAATTTTATTTAAAAAAAATTATTCATGAATTTTTAAATAAAACTTGGAGCTCAAGTTATAAACTAAGGTAAATAGAATTGTACATTAGATAAAGTAGATTACAAATTCTTGAAATTGAACATCTCAAGAGAAAAATAAATATTAAAATTATGTTCATAAATAAATTGGGATATAAAGTTGCAAGTCATAAAAATAATGTTGCAAATTGATAAGCACTTGTTGTTAGTGCCTTAAATAAATTAAGCTTCACTAGTGTAACTAGTGGGCAACCTAGGTTAATTTATCAAAGTAGAATGATATTAAAAATTTGATAAACAGCAATAAAAATTATCTAATAGTTACTAAAATAAAACTATTATAATGTTTTTGAATTTTTCAAATTTATGAGTGAAGTGAGAATAAATTAGGGTCTATAATTATATATATGGGATCCTTAGGAGTGAGAGTTGAAGTTTATCCTAGTCAAATTAGATTTTCCAATCACCTCAATTCATTAGTCAAATCAGCCTAAGTAATCACTCAAACTTGATTGAAAAACTTTTCAAAAATTTCTAATATCTTAGATGATTAATGGTAGTTCTATTTAATCAATTAACACTATCAATGCACAATGAGTATAATGAAATCAAGTATGGCCAATGTATAGCACGAAATTCACTTAAAAAATGAGTTTCAATTAGATAAATCAAAATTTAAACATCTCAAAGTAATATTAACACAATACTCGTGCAATACTAACTTATATAGTACCAACAATCACAGTAACACATGAAGTTTGAGCTACATAGCAAGAAAACCCAATACGCAATGTATCATTACAAAATATCAATTAAACATTTCACCAAATACATAGCTTACACTAGTTACAAGGTGCAAATTTCAATCAAGAATAAAAATTGTAACTAAAATCAAAATAGAGATGACTTAACCCTTTTTAAAAGCTTGGCTCAAGTGCTTCTTGTCTTCTCCCAAGAATCACAAGCTTCTTAGCCATGCCCCATAACTTCCTCTAGTCCATCTCCAAAATCATTAAAATGTTCGGCCATGGTGATGAAATGGAGAATAATGCAATTTCTCGAAAATAAAGGAGAATGACTGAATTGAATTCGAGGATTTGATGCGGACTGGACAAGGAGTGATTTGATCGGCGTGGATGATGAGGAGTACAGAACCAGTTGGAGAATTGAAGGAGCCCAAGAAGAACAATTACAGAGGAGGAGACGATGAAAAAGATGAAGCGATAGAAGACGAAGTGGAGATATGATCGAAAAAAAATGAAGAAATGTTTTCTTTTTATCGAGTAAGCGGTGAATCAATTGATGGGATCAAATTGATGAAAGATGAGCGGAGAGAATCAGGGTGTGTGTGTGAATGTGCTGACAGTGAAAATTCAAATTTTCTTTTTTTTTTTTTTTCAAAACGGTGGTCGCATGACACAAGCTGTTTCAATTGAAGCAGAGAGAAAGTCCCTAGCATCCAATACGCATCGGACTGCGAACACATGTCCCGTACTCGGATACACGTCCCGATACGCATCGTCGCTCTCCTCTTGTTGCTCTTGCTTCTACTTTGCTTTCCCCGATATGCATCGTCGCTCTCCTCTCATGGCTCTTGCTTCTGATTTGCTTTCACCGTCTCTGGCGACTTACTTGTTTGCTTTTACTATTTTTCCATCAATGACTGATTGTCAAGTTCTCTCCCTACCTCTCCCTCTCTATTCCTACTTCTGCTACTTCTCCTCTTCTCCCTCGTGCTTCCTTGAAAGAAACGGTGGAAACTAATT